TCCCCCGTGCTGTACTCAGAGATTGCAGAGGTGAGTCAGGAGTGGGCAGTACTGTCCTCAGAGCCCACGGTCTGGCCAGGAGGCAGTGGGAGGAGGGAGGAGAGGACCCTGGGTAATGACCCGGCCCACAGTGGCCTCAGCTGTGACTCTCCAGCAGGGGAGGCCAGTGTCCATGGGTGAGAGAGGAGTGCAGTTGGGGGGGGGGCGGTGCTGCCCTGGAAGCCCCCCAGCCCCCACTCTGGGTTTGGGGGTGGGAGCCAGCACAGAGCGAGCAGGCTGCTGGGGCCTTCCGTCAGGCCCAGGCCCAGCTGGCCGAGGACCCACAAGGGCACCTGGGTGCTAGAAAGCCTGCACCCAACATCTGAATGCCAGCCTGGGGTGGAGGCTCAGCTCCAGTGGGAGGGCCTGCTTCTCATTCCAGCTTCGTCTCTCTCTGCTCCCTGTCCTTGGCCCCATTTCACAGATGGGGACACTGAGGCATCCTTCTGGGAAGCCCAAGAGTGGCAGAGCAGAGTCCTCAGACAGCTTTTCAGAGTGGGGCTTTGGAAGGGTGGCCCGTGCCTTGCAGGGCGGCTGGCCCTTTCTCAGCCTCCTGCTCCACATGGGGCCCGTGAATGGAGGGACTCCGCGGAGGTCACATGGCGGCCACCCGGAGGCATCCATCCGGGACAGCCTGGTTTCAGTATCTCTTCTGTGCCCTGTGCATGCCTCCTGAACCCTGCATAACTTGTTTTTAGACATCGCTTTCCCAAAAGGATGAATTATTCATTTCCAGTGGTGGAAGGGCAACCGGTATAGTCCTCTGTGGGATTCCTGAGGTTATGTGGCCTCTGCGGGACTGGGAGGTGGAGGAGGAACTGGCTCTGGTGCCTGGGGAGCCTGGGGATGTAGAGGGAAAACCGGGACAGAGATGGAGCTCGTGAGCTCCCAGGACCGATCCCAAGTGGGGGCTGGGGGGATGAGAGAAGGAGAACAGACCCCCTTAGCCTGGGGGTCCTCTGTGGCCTTGACACCCATGCCCTCAGCCTCTAAGGCCCCTCCTCATGCCGGGCACTGAGGGAGGCCCTGGCCATGGGCTGGCTGTCTGCCTGGAGCCCCTTGGGAGATTTGGGGGAAGGAAGTCCCTGTGGGTCCCCCATGATGAGCAAAGGTCATCAGAATTGGCAAATATGGCTCCCAACCCAGGGAAGCCAGAGTGCATTCATTCATTCATTCATTCATTCACATTTGAAGAAAACCAGTCTGAGCTGGTACACAGGTTCTGTGAGAACATTGGAGATTTGTACCTTGTTGCCTCGGGAAGGAAGGAAGGCTTTCCACGATCTGGCACATGCACATTTTGTTCTCTCTCATCTTATACCTGTAGCTTGCAGATACTGTGTAGCCTAGTGAGTCATAAATATGTGCAGTCCGTGCAGCATATACATAAATGTGCCCACATCCTGTGCCTTGAATGTTCTCTGCATGCACACACGCACACGGTCTGCAGAGACAAAGTCTGTGAATGTGGGTCTGCTCTGGGCATGTCGTGTATGCTTTTACATACTGGTAGATCTGTGGTGTGTGTGCCTGCGTGTTCCAAGTCCGGGTGTTCCCCGACCCACACGTACATACTGTTTGTGAGGTTCCAAGGGTAGGCCATACGTGTTCTGCACAGAGCACCTGCAGACGCTACATCTGTGTATTACACACATGGCTTATGCATTCCCTGGACTTAGACACGATGTGTGTGGACCTGTCCACCTACGGTGCCTGGAGCGTTGTAGCAGCAGAGACAGTGAGCAGATCCAGGGGAGACTACGCGTAGCATATCAGTAGGGCCTGTGCAGGAAGCAGCACTCTCAATCAGTGGGCTATTTATAGACTCTTCTGGAAAGTGTGGGTCGGGTAGAGGGAAGGCGTGGCATTCTGGACGAGCCGTGATGGAGAGCTGGGAATAGTTACTGGAAGTGTAGAGAGTAGCTCTATGCTGTGGACCTACTGGCAGAGGCGGCCTGTGACCAAGGTCCTCCCCTTCCTCCCTTCCTCTGACCTCCTGACCCACTAACTGGAAACCAGAGAGCAGGGTGGAGATGAGATGGGTGCGTCCAGTTGGGGAAATTGATGGTGTCCTGCCTGGCTGCCTCTTTCCCAGAAGCATTGCGTGTTCAGCAACTTGTCTCTCACCGTAGCGGGAATAGTCCTGTGCCCAAACACGGGGCCCTAAGAGATGCATTAACGTGGAAGGCCCTGAATGTTGGTGGTGTTCATCTCCCACACTCTTACTGAGGCCTGTCCCCACTGTAATGTGGTGGTGATACACACCTTGGTGTGTCGGAATGATGAAGTCCTTCCATTCTGCAGTGTGACAGATGGCCGGAGACCCAACACACCCCGAAACGGGGTCTGCAGACGTACTTCTGTCCGGGCCACATGAAGGAAACTGCTGCTGACAGGAATGGGTGGGTCTGGGCACCCCAGGTGCAGGGTTTTTTTTTTTTTTTTGATTCAGCAAATGCTGTATTGGTTTCCTCCAGTAAATATATCCCATCCAGAGCCATTAGCTATTACCGCCTTAGTAAGTCTCCAGCAGTCTACTGTTTTCCCACCATCCATCTGGCTTTTGTGTCAGCTACGCAGGTGAACTATCTAGAGGTAGAGTGGGATTCCCACCCCTGCATTTTGTATAAATATAAACCCACTTGTTTACCGAGACATGCTTCATTCTTTCCTGAAGACCTAAGTCTCCATCTGGTATCATTTCCCTCTAGGAAGAACTTCCTTTAGTAATTATGCTCTGTAGATCTACTGGTAACCCATTTTCTTTAATGTAAAAATGTATCTTGACTTCATTCTTAAAGGATATTTCCTGTGGATGGACAATTCCAGGTTAACAGTTTTTTTTTAAAGCCCCTTAAAGATGTTATTCTAGTGTTTTCAGGCTCCCAATGTTCATGATTAGAAGGAAGACGTATTCAAAGTGTTCTGTGTGAGGTCTTGTTTCTCTCTGGCTGCCTACAAGATTTTTCTCTTTGGGTTTCAGCAGTTTGATGTGTGGTGGTCTTTGTGTTTATCCTACTTGGAGTTCCCTGGGATTCTGGAATCTATAAGCTTGTGTCTTTCACCAAATTTGGTTAATTTTGGCTATTTCTTCAGAGTTTTTAGGTCTTATTCTCTCTTTTGCTCCTGGGATGCCTTTCTTCAGGTCGGATTTCTAGATTGGTTGCTCTCCCCATCAGCCCCATCAGCCTTTGGTTTCCCCATTCTATCCTTTCTGGCCTGACTCCAACTTTGTCATGTCATTTTCCTTCTTTTGCAAAGAATATGGGGGTTTTTGAGGGGCTGGTGCCCCTCACTGGCTCAGCGGGACTGATGGTCAGAGAGGATGAACAGAAGGCATCCTGGAAGCAAACAAATGGTGCCATCTCTCTACTGAGAATATGAACCCTGGGGTAGGTAGGACATGGCATGAATTCCTGCCAGGGGAGGGAGATAGACCATAAATGATAAAGTCCTGGTAGAGAGGTGTGAGCTTGAGCAGTCAGATGAAGTTTCTTGTGGGAGACAGGAGGCAGGGGAGGTCTTGGGGGGTCTGGTTGGTCCCTACTGCGTACCAGGCCCTGGACTAGGGGCCGTCTGACTCAACAGGTCTGCACAATCCCACCTGAAAATTATTATGATCCCATGTAACAGATGAAGAAACCAGGGCTGGGAGGGGTGGTCTGGTGCCCTGATAATACAGCTGGTGAAAGGACTAGGGGCCCATGAGCATACGGCTCAGGGTAACATCAGGGAAGCCATTTTTGAGGGGGGGGGTGGATTTGAGATGTAGGAAGGCCATGTTCATCCTCCAAACTCTCAGTCCAAATGCTGCCCATGATTCAGGGTTTTTTTTTTTCTTCCTTTTTCTGGACGGTATTAGTTTCAGAACTTGAACTAGAGCCTGCTGAGTCTTGCGTTCTTTCTGCTATATTGTGTAGACCGTATCCTGGCTCTGATATGAATAACAAGTAGCTGAATGGCACCTGGCAGGTAACTTCACCCTTCTAGCACCCCATCCTCATTCTGAACACGAGGAAATACAGAATCAGCTTTGCACAACGGATGTAGGGGATTAACGAAGTGACGTGCTGTGAAGTTGCACAAAGTATCAAAAGCACTTACACGTGCATGGTTCTTGAAGGATTATTTGCTCCCTCTTTCCTGGGAAGCCCAGATTCACACAGTGGCACAACTGTATTCCTTCATTTATTAATCTTCTACAGGCTAGGTGTTACTCTAGGGGTGGGGGATCCAGCAGTGAACAAAACAGGTACAAGTCTTTGCCCTCCTGGTGTTTGTATTACACTCTGCAGTTACTCCTCTTGATTCAAAACTCTCTGCTTTTGAGCCTCGTTCTTGGTGCCCAAAAGCTCTGGGTTCAAATCCCAGCTCTGAAGAAATCAAGGTATCCTACTGTTAGGTAACCAGAGCTCAGTATTCTTGTTGTATCAGACTCATCATGCCTGGTTTGTAGGGTTGTTAGGAGATCAGAGTGAGGATCTGTGGGACGAGGACTCCACCCAGCGCCTGGTCTACAACAGTAATGTTGGTCCACAGTGGCCATACTTCATTTTATCCTTTGGCCTCACTACTTTCACAGCCTTATTAGTGAAAATGCTGCTTTTTCTTTTAAAAAACTTTGTTTTGCTCTAAAAACAACAAAATGCTCCCTGTCCCCCTCCTCTGAACTGCCTCAAAGAGCACCTCTCCTATCCCTAAATTTCAAAGGACACCTCCCTGATTCTTCCTTTCCCCTCCTCCCTCCAGGATGCAGGCATGCTCTAGCCTCCATCCCAATCGAAGTGCCTGCACTCCCTTCCCAACCCCAATCTCAAGTGACATTTCTTCACTGGCTCTCCCTCCCGGGTTATGGGCTTGCCCCAGCCCCTTCCTCCCTGAAATGCCAAGTGCAACCCCACCCCAGACCTCAGGGGACCTCTCCTCACTCCTTCTCCCTGTTTTCTCACCCCTCCCCTCAGGTTATGGGCACGCTGCCCCCGGCACCGACGCGGGCAAGGCCTTCTGCATGTTCTACGCGGTGCTGGGCATCCCGCTGACGCTGGTCATGTTCCAGAGCCTGGGCGAGCGGATGAACACCTTTGTGCGCTACCTGCTGAAGCGCATCAAGAAGTGCTGTGGGATGCGCAACACAGAAGTGTCCATGGAGAACATGGTGACTGTGGGCTTCTTCTCCTGCATGGGGACGCTGTGCATCGGGGCGGCCGCCTTCTCCCAGTGCGAGGAGTGGAGCTTCTTTCACGCCTACTACTACTGCTTCATCACGTTGACTACCATTGGGTTTGGGGACTACGTGGCGCTGCAGACCAAGGGCGCCCTGCAAAAGAAGCCACTGTACGTGGCTTTTAGCTTTATGTATATCCTGGTGGGGCTGACTGTCATCGGGGCCTTCCTCAACCTGGTGGTCCTCAGGTTCTTGACCATGAACAGCGAGGACGAGCGGCGGGATGCCGAGGAGAGGGCGTCCCTTGCCGGAAACCGCAACAGCATGGTCATTCACATCCCCGAGGAGGCGCGCCAGGGCCGGCCCCGGTACAAGGCGGATGCCCCGGACCTGCAGTCCGTGTGCTCTTGCACCTGCTACCGCCCGCAGGATTACGGAGGCCGCCCGGTGGCCCAACAGAACTCCTTCAGCGCTAAGCTCGCCCCCCAGTACTTCCACTCCATCTCGTACAAGATCGAGGAGATCTCACCAAGCACATTGAAAAACAGCCTCTTCCCGTCCCCCATCAGCTCCATCTCCCCCGGGTTACACAGCTTTACCGACAACCACAGGCTGATGAGACGGCGGAAGTCCATTTAGGGTGCGGGGTGGGCGGCGTAGGCAGAAAGAGTCACTTGTCCTGTTTGACCTCGAGTTCCACTGGCCCACCTCGTCTGTTCTTTCTTATTAGTAGTATCCTTTACTATTGTACTCATTATTATTTTCTTTCCTTTTTTCCTCCCCCCCCCCATGGTTTCCTTCCTCCTTCCCCGCCCCTCCCGGCGAGACAGAGCAGGCCAAAGGGGAAAAGAAAGGCCCGTCCTCCTCTGAAACTCGCGTCTGAGCATGAAGCATGGATTTCTTCCTTCCTTCCCAGCGAAGTATGCCTTACATTTCTCCGCAGCCTGCCCCATCTCTGGGGTGGCCTTCCCAGGACAGGTGTGAGACCGAGACCACCAGGCAGAGCTGAGAGGATACCCAACCCAAAGTTGCACACCAGGCTGCCAGCCGGCGAGTGCCCACCCACGTGCTGTCTGACCTAACTCCTCTCTCTCCTCCCCGAAGCGGTGGGTGGCTGTGTGTGTGCATGCGTGCGTGTACGGACTGTGTGCGAGTGAGGGAGTGCACACGCCCGTGTGCTTCCGTGTGTGTGTGTGTGTGTGTGTGTGTGCGCACCGTGTGGCAAAACGGAAAGTATCAGGTATTCACGGTTTTCTTTTCCATGACAGTTCTGTTGATAACCTGCTTTCAGCGGCTTCCAAACAAAACGGGGAAAACCAAACCCACGAGGTTTTTGATTTATCATTCTGCCAAACCAAGCATGTTCCATAAGCGATCTTCTCTCCCAGACGTGTCATGATCATATTTTTTAAATGCTAGGTTCTAAATTATATTAACTTCTTTTTAGGGGGGTGGGTGGGAAAGAGGACATGGATCATTTTAGCTTGCCAGTTCAAAAATTTTTTAGAAGCATGCACTTTGTTAAACTGGTATGCATTATCAACGCAAGAAAACAAAACTAGCAATGGAATAATCCAAAGCCAGTAATATTAATTTATTAAAGGATTTTTTTAATCATCTGCAGTTCTAACAATTTACCGTGCAACTGGAAGTGTCAGGGGAAACTGGAAAATTGTTGGAACCACAGAGTATTTTGTTACTTCCCTCTTATTTATAGAAGGATGGAAGTGGTGGTGGTAGCGGTGGCAGTTTGTGCAGCGTCTACCTGCATAAATAAGAATTGTGGTTTGGGATGCTTGGATGAGAATGGGTATTAGGTGGATGTGGTTTATTTTCCTAATAAAAAAATGACAGGGCATTCCTTGTTTAAAAAATATATATACGTATTTCAAGAAAGACAGTCTCTAATTGCATTTGATTTGTAAATAAGGGCAAGTCTGTGTTGGTCTCAGGAAGCGTTTAGAGGCAAGGAGTGGTGTCTTGGCCTGCTGGGAACGTGTCAATCTCAGGGGACAACTTTCCTGAGTAGTGGAGAAATTCCTCCCTGTGGTCCTTTTGGACGACCCACGAGGAAGGCCTGTTAATCTCCTAGGGGAGGGCAAGTCTATAGAATTGGGCACACTGGGGGTCTTTTCAGTGACCCGAATAAAGAAAAATCTGGAATCCAAATTCCCAGAGGGGACCTTCAACTTCGCTCATCACCACCCCTATCTTTTCTAGAATTCACTTACCTTCCCATGTCCTTTTCATGAAGGGAATGGTCATGACTCCTGGATAGAAAAGGGCTTTGGCCCAGAAGGAGCAGCGGGAGCCCCCATGAGATCTCCCGGAGTGGAGGATCCGCTGCCTAGTAAGATGAGGTCTGAGGGATTCCTGAGAGGATAAGCCACCTAGATGCCACCAGTCCCAAGCATTTGGGCCATTGGAGCGAAACACAGCAGTCCAGACTCCTCTGGCGGGGCAGGCACTGTAGTGTCCCATGTTGACAGTGGGCTCTGCGTCCAGGACACGGGGCCTGTGAAAGGGGTCTAGGAACCATGGTTCTCAACCTTCACGGTTGTCTTGGTTCACTCATTTAAAAACAAAACAAAACAAAACAAAAAAAAACTTTAGGGCTCTAAAACCTGGCCAGAGAATAGATTTTTTTTTCCTCTTGGAAGAAATTCATTATTGAGGGATCATAGGTATGAAAATACTAGTCCACCTTTGCAGAGTGCCTCCTGCTTTGGAGGAGAATGCTTGCAATCGGTGTGAGGTTTCTCATGAAAACCTTTGTAAGATTTGTCCTCAAATGGGGTGTATGACAATCTTTGAACTGTAGGGGAAACTGAGGCACAAGAAGGTGGCCGGTTTGCTCAGTGTCGCAGAGCTGGTCCTGGCCTGAGAAGCTGGCTCCAGCACACCGTGGCCTCTGCCTTCAGCTGAGGCCACCTGCTTCTCTCTGCCCACAAGTGGGTGCACCAGGAGTCAGAAGAGCCCAGTCTCAGCCCTTCATTCAGGGGCTGGTTCCCTGACTAAAATAGCTGTGTAAAGTGTCCTTCTGTTTAAATGCTTCCAGGGACAGGAAAAAAAATTCCATATTCTAGATTTCCAGAGTTGACTGTTCTTTATGGCAGTAAGGATTGTAGGGTGAAGTTCTTTCTGTTCAGTGATGACCACCAACTTGAGCATTGGAAGCAATGTAGATCCTCATGTTCCCAGATCCCTCCTGGTTCTCGGTCCTTGGCTACCGCCCAGCCCACCTAAGGGCAGTTAGTGAGTCTCCTCTTCCAAAGCTAAATATCCTTGTTCACGCTTGAGGTCTTCAGGGCACGGTGGTGAACCTTGGTTTGCTTCCTTTGGGATATCTCACCTTTTCTCAGATGGCCCTGGTGGTTCCCAACTCTGGTCTCCAGCCAAGGAATCCTCCACGCACCCCAGTAAGGTGCTCTCATGGGGTGTCAGTGAATCGACAGCCTCCAGGGTCCCTCCCTCCTGATGAAATGGGGCTGGGGCATCTGCATCCAGAGAGCTGGCCCCCTGAGATGGCTCAGTCAGCAGGAGAATCCTCAAAAGCCAAGAGGAAGCTTTAGCCTGAGTCCACCTCCCTGAGCTCCCTCACTTTTGGGGGAGGAGACAGAGGGGCCAGGAAGGGGGAACCAGCATCTCAGATTAGCCTGCCAAGCCCTTGGTCTTCCCATGTGATTCTCCACCTGCCATCTTCCTGGCTGTGTGGTCACCGCTGTTGCTTGTACCCCGCAGGTCCCTCCATGCCTCAGGCCAGGTCTCCACTCCTTGCACAGCTGGCGACTTCTTTCCCCAGTCTGGTTTCTCAGCCCCTTTCTTGCAGGTGGCAGCGCCCCTCAGTGAGGGGGACAAGTCACTCTAGATTGTTGGGACACAGATTTCAGCTTCAGTCAGGGCCACGGCCCACCGGAATCCCAGGGGACTGCCTGGCCACCCAGTTCTAGAAAGCAGCATACCTCACAGGTCCTTAAAGAGCTTTCGGACTCCTGCTTGAACGTTTTCCAGCTTAAGGGATCTCCATCCATCCACGTCACCAAAGATGGGAGGAAGGTGGGCAGTGGCACGGATCATCCTAAACAGGCCTGGGTGCTTTCTAGAGACCTTCCCGTTTTTACCACCTCCATGCCAGCTGGAAGGTGCTATCGTGCCACGGGACCGTTGGACTCTTGTGTACCTAGAAGTGAGCCCACCATCTGGGTTTTGAGGTGCATGGTTAGCCCCGGAGCTGGAGTCGGGTCTCTTCTTCCCACCCCCAGCACTCCGCCTTGAAACCCAGGCAGCAGACCCTTCAGTGCAGCGGGCTGCCTGGTGCTCCCTGAAGCATCTGTTGTGTTCCTGCCGTGCATCACTGATTGGGAGGTGCCGCTTGCCCTTGGCCGTGAGCACAGCAGGTCGTTTGCAGCCCAGACACCTTGCCCTGGGAGAGGAAGCAGATGGACCCACACTGCTGCCTGGGAGGCCCGCCTTTGTAGGTGCTCAGACCCCATCTACAGAAAGGGGAGAGGGACTGCAGAATTTGGCTCGCCGCGGCTTCTCTGCATGTGGGGCCTTCAGTGGGGGAATGTCTGGACAGCAGCTCAGAAGCCCACAGTTAGGTCTAGGAGGTCACTTTTCTCTGCCTCACCTTGATCCGAAAGCCTCACGGATCCCAATTCCTAGCAACGCTCACCAGCAGCTGGAAGCTGGAGAGAACGGGTTAGAGGCATTCATTTGTCTGTGCACATGGAGTCGGAGAGGGAGGTGAGAGAGCAAACAATGATCAGAGGAGAAAAACCACCTGCCGCTGAGGTCCATGGCCCTGTTTCTTTCTGCAGTTTTTAAAAATAATCAGCCCTAATTAAGCTACCAGTTACGGGCATCCACAGAGGTGCAAGGTCTGAGGCCTGTACTGGAACATGTCCATTCTATTAGTGTGATGGGGTACCGTCCTCTGATGTGCGCTAGTGCCTGTGGCTTCACCCCAAAAGGGGTGCAGACAGGGGGCCTGTCCTGGGTGAGCCTGCGGCTAGGACTCTAACAGGAGTTTCTTCCAGAGTCCTGGCTTACCTGGGGTGCGTCCGGGGTCCCAGACAAGGAAGGGTTGGTAGGGCCATGCCTCCTGCCTCCCTGGGCCCCCAGAAGTCCTCTCCCCTCCCTGGCCTCTGTTGTGGTCCCACGACACATGGGATGGGGTGGAGGTGGGGGGGTCAGGAATTTGACCCATGAAGACATCTGGCCTGGATGTTCCAATCAGTGGGCACTTTTGAAGGCTGGGCTACCAGGAATACCAGAGACCATTTCATATGGCAGGGTGCTGGGGAGATGGAGGGAGAGGGGGCAAGCAGTGGTGCCAAGAACAGAGCATCATCACATGAACCAGGCCCCAAGCATCCTGGGTTACCCAGAGCCCTGGGTGTAAATCCATTCTGGATGGCCCTTTCTTGATGACAGCTTGGGACATGCTGCTGTGGGGAAATCCTATTCCCATGATTCAGGGGGAAATCCTGTTTCCATGATTCTCCCTCCACCAACTTCGGAAAATTATAGATTCAAGCAAAGTTGCAAGAAGAGTAGGATAAATCTCTTTATACCTATCACCCAATCCCACCAGCCTGTAGCACTTTGTCATACTTGCTTGACCCTCCTCCCACCCCAAGGTACATGGAAGATGAAGTGGGGTCTGCAGCTTTTAGG